TTCCTGAATCAGGTATCACCTTTATGAGGTGTGGTGGTAATCCGTGAGAGGGAAAAAGTTGTGTGTACAGTGGTGTGCTGATAAATGCCAAAGGACTGGCTCTCTGGGGGAAAAAGAGCTCTGATCTGTAGCATTTGCTGATTCCCATGGTGTGAATACTCCAAACCTGGCTGATTTCAAGCTACCAGTGTGATGTCACCAAATGCAGTCTTGGGAAGAGATGGCGACAGCTGGCTCTCGGGAGCCAGTCTGAGCTGACCCCAGCACACCACTGGGTGCGTGGGCTAATCCAGTGAAGTTCCAGGGGGTGGGAGCCTCATTGTGGTCAGTGCCCAGAGAGGTTGGGGAGCACCAGAATGATGGGGTTTCGCAGCCATCCAGGTAGGAAGAGAACTTCAGGGGGGAAAAGAAGTCACGCTTATTCTCTGCTGCCCACAGAGGCACAGAAGGAAGAGGTTGGAGAAGCTGCTGGCTTTGGCCGCCCACTCTCCGCATCTCACCCACCACCCCCGTGGGAATCCTGACTCCAGGCTATCTCTGCAGGTCTGCAGTTCTGTCTTTTAAAGCGGGGAGAGGTTCCCACCAGGTCACGTTCACCTGGGCAGACAATATTACGGAGGTGATGTCATGAAAGATCCATTCTGAAAAAGGACCAGGCCTGCCAAAGCCACCCTGGGGTCACCAGCATGCATTGGGGCACCAGGATTCTTTTTTTGGCCCCAGGATATTCTCTGAGGGGCAGAAGAGCACCTCCTCTCTGGCCCAGGTGCGGACTTGGTCCCAGGAGAGCTGCCCGTTTGTGGCCCTTCCCGTGAGACTCCAAAAGACTCCCTCCTGCCAGATCAGGGTCACAGCAACTGAGAACAATGCTGGGCAGGCCGAGCGGGCCCTGCGCAGGGGCAGGGGGTCTGGGAGAGCAGCAGAAGCGGCTGGGGCCTGTCCTTCCCAAACTGGGCCACTGGTGGGGCCTTTCATCTCCCGCCTTCCTCTCTGGGCCACTCCAGCGTCCGCCTGCCTCTGCTTCTTCCCACCCCACTACCCCCAGTGCGGCAATTACTGCGCTAATTAGGGCGCTTTGATCATCTTTAGAAATGGCCACACTGGGGAGGGACACTGCCAAGCAATTAGGGGCAGAGAGGCTGGGAGCTCGGGCACCTCCTCAGGGGGTGGGGCTGCTGAGGACCCTCAGACACCCCCTGTCTCCTCCCTCCAGGAGCGTCTGCCCCCAGCATAACTGTAAACTCCTCGGGGAATAGGGGCTGATGGGAATCACCCCCCGCCCGCCCCCCACCCCAGCTCTGAGCCCTGGAGACAGGGCCAGCCCCTGCCCACCAGCCCCCCTCTGCCTGGCCCCCAGCCCAACCGTCAGCTCTTCTGGCCTGTCCAGGCCCCTTTGATGGAGCCGCAGAAACAAGGGCTCCTTTGACAGAAGGGGGGCCTCAGAGCCCGGATGATGAGACTTCAAAGGTGAGGGTCGAGCCCACTAACCCGTTCCCTCCCCCAACCCTGGCCCCCCTCCCGTGTCCCCCCCCCCC